GGGTATCTTTATAAATATTGCATCAAATCTATACATCGCTTCGGATAGTATGGATATTTTAATGATGTTAATTTTTTCTATCCATGAGGACAATATGTGCTTCCACTTTTTTGTATCATCTTTAATTTCTTTTTCATTGTCTTATAATTTTCTGAGTACAGATCTTTTACATCTTTGATTAAATTTATTCCAAGGTGTGTTTTTAATTTATTTAGTTTCCCTTTCTGATAGTTAATCATTGGTGTATAAAAATGCAACAGATTTCTGGATATTTATTTTGTATCCTGTTAGTTTACGGAATTCATTTATCAGTTCTAGTAGTATTTTGGTGGAATCTTTAGGGTTCTTTATATACAGTATGATTTAATCTGCAAATAATGAGTGTTACTTCTTCCTTTCCAATTTGCATGCCTTTTATTTCTTCTTCTTGTCTGATTGCTGTGGCTAGGACTTCCAGAACCATATTGAATAAGAGTGTGGAATCTAATGAACAAGATAAACTTATGAACAAAATAGGACCAGAGGTGTGGATACATGGAACAGACTGACAGATCTCAGAGGGGAGGGGATGGAGGGACTGGAAAAGATTAACCAAAGAACTTATGTGCATATATTGCATAGCCCATGGACACAGACAATAATGTAGAGAAGGCCTGGTGGGCTGGGGGCTGGGTGGATGGTATCAAAAGGGTAGGGAAATTTTGGGACATCTATAAATGTCAACAATAAAATAAAAGCATGGTGAAAGCAGACATCCCTGTCCTGTTTGTTTTTAAAACACTTTTAGGTTTGTCCACTGAGTATGATGTTTGCTGTATGTTTGTCATATATAGCCTTTATTATATTGAAGAATAATCCCTGTATTCCCACATTGCTGAGACTTTTTATCATAAATGGGTGCTCAATTTTATCAAATGCTTTTTGTGCATCTATTTATATGATCATGTGATTTTTATCCTTCATTTTTTATATGGTGTGTCATGTTTATTAATCTGGTGATATTGTACCAACATTTCATCCCTGGAATAAAGCTCACTTGCTCATAGTGTGTAAACTTTTTAATGTACTACTGGATCCTGTTGGCTAATATTTTGTTGAGGATTTAAGCATGTATGTTTGTCAGGGATATTGGCCTATAATTTTTTTTTCTAGTGTCCTTATCTGCTTTTGGAATTAAGATAATGCTAGCCTAATAAAATCAGTTTTGGAGTCTTCCCTTCTCTTGCACATTTTAGAATAGTTTGAGAAGGATAAGTGTTAGTTCTTCTTTGAATGTTTGGTGAAACTCACTTATGAAACCATCTTCTCCAAGACTTTTGTTTTTGGGGAATTTTTTTTTATTACTGCTTCAATTTCATTAGTTGTAATCAGTTTATTCAGATTTTTTTTATTCTTCCTGATTCAGTGTTGGAGGATTATATGTTTCTAGGAATTTATCCATTTTGTCCATTTTGTACAGTTTGTTTTATTATCCTATGGTTGTTCATAATATTTTCTTAAATCCCTTGCATTTCTGTGGAGTCAGTTCTTAATTATTTTTTACTAAATTTATTGAGATGATATTGGTTAATAAGATCACATAGGTTTCAAGTGTGCATTATTACTTGGATAAATTATTTGTATATTGCATGTGTGCCCATCACCCAAGGTCAAATCATCTTTTATCACATTTATTTTCTTTAATTTTTGATCTTATTTATTTGGGCCTTCTCTCTTTTTTTTTTTTTTTTTCATTAGTCTGGTTAAAGTCTTGCCTATCTTGTTTATCTTTTCAAAGAACTAGTTCTTGGCTTCATTGATCTTTTGTACTGTTTTGTTTTGTTTTTAGACTCTATTTCATTTGTTTCTGCTCTGATCTTTATTTTCCCTTTCTTTTACTCTCTTTGGGCTTTGTTTGTTGTTCTTTTTCTAGTTCCTTTAAGTGTAAAGTTAGATTGTTTATTTGAGATTTTTCTTGTCTCTTGGAGTAGGCCTGTAATGCTATGATTTTCCCTCTTAGGGTGGTCTTTTCTGTGTCCCATAAATTTGGGGTTGTTTGGTTTCATTTTTATTTGCTTCAAGGTATCCTGATTTATTTTTTTATCTCACTGTTAGCCCATTCATTCATTTTTTAGTAACATGTTATTTGGCTTACATGTTTTTGTGTGTTTTGGGGGGCATTTTCCTGTGATTGATTTCTAGTTTCATACCATTAAGGTTAGAGGAAATTCTTGATATGATTTCAGCCTTCTTAAATTTATTGCAACTTGTTTTGTGTCCTAACATGTGGTCTATCTTAGAAAATGGTCTATGTGCACTTGAAAGAATGCATATTCTGCTGCTTTGGGGTGAAATGCTCTAAAGATATCAATTAAATCCATCTGAACTAGTGTGTCATTTAAGGCCTCTGTTACCTTGCTGATTTTTTGTCTGAATATCTATCCATTGATGTCAATGGGGTGTTAAAATCACCTACTGTGATTGTATTATTGTCAATTTCTCCCTTTATATACATCAAGAGTTGCTTTATATATTTAGGTTCTTTTTAGTTGGGTGGATAAATGTTTACAAGGGTTATATCCTTTTGTTGAATTAATCTCTTTATCATTATGTAGTGATTCTTTGTCTCTTACTATAGCCTTTCTTTTAAAGTCTATTTTGACAGATATAAGTATTTCTACCCCAGCTTTATATTTGATTTCCATTTGCATAAAATACCAATTTTCTTTTACTTTTGGTCTCTGTGAATCTTTCATTCTGAGGTGAGTCTCTTCTAGACAGCATATATATGTCTTGTTTTCTTATCCATTTACATTTAAAGTGATTATTAATTGGTACATATTTATTGCTATTTTATTCTTTTAACTATGTTCCTCTCTTTTTGTTTTATCTTCCTCTTCTGCCTCTGCCTCCTCTTCCTTTTCTTCTTCTTTGTTTTCTTCCAAGAAGATTCTGTAATGTTTCTTGTAATACTGTTTTGGTGGTAACAAACTCCTTTAGGTTTTTTTTGTCTGGAAAGCTTTCTATTCTCTTTCATTTTAAATGATAACCTTGTTGGGTAAAGTAGTCTTTGTTGTAGATCCTTTCTTTTCATCAGTTTGGATATTTCATGCCAATCACTTATAACCTGAAATGTTTCTGTTGAAAAATCAGATGACAGTGTTTTGGGAGCTCCCTTGTAGGTAACTGTCTTTCTCTTGCTGCTTTTATTATTCTCTTTTGGTCTCTAACCTCTGTTATTTTAATTTTGCTGGTTCTTGCCGTGAGTCTTTTGGGGTTCATTTTGTTTGGGATTATCTGCACTTCCTGGACTTCTGTGTTTTTTCCCTTCACCCCATTAGGAAAGTTTTCAGTCATCATTTCCTCAAATATGTTTTCAATCTCTTGTTCTCTCTCTTCTCCTCTGCTACCTTTATGATGCAGATGTTGTTATACTGTATGTTGTCCTAAAGGTCCTTTAAACTATCCTCATTTTTTTGATTCTTTTTTAATTTTTCTGCTCTGATTAGGTGTTTATTCTACCTTGTCTTTCAAGACATTGATTTGATTCTCTGTTTTATCCAACCTACTATTTATTCTTTCTTGTGTATTCCTCATTTCAGATAGTATACTCTTCATTTCTGACTGGCTCTTTTTTATGGTTTCTATGTCCCATTTTATGCATGCTATCTTTTGTTGAAGTTCTCACTAAGTTTTTTAAGCATTCTTATAACCATTTTTTTGGTAAATTGTTTGCCTCCATTTTATTTAGCTTTTTCTGGAGATTTCTCCTGTTTTGTCATTTGGGGCATGATTCTTGATCTCACCATTTTGGCTGCCTCTTTGTGTTTGTTTTTACGTATTAGGTGGATCTGCTATTGCTCACATTCCTGGTAAGGTGTCCTTATGTTGTTAGGTGTCTTGTGGGACTCAGTGACATAGTCTCCTTGATCACCTGAACTGGGTACTCCAGGAATATCCCTTGTGTGGGTTTTGAGGACCCTCCTGTTATAAGTGAGTCTGTCTTGATTGCTATCAGTCCATTTGTGTGAGTAGTCGACCCTCAGCTTACTGAGAAGATTGAGCCCATCTTCAGTGTAAGAGTTGTAGTGAATGTTCTAGTGTTTGTCAAGATCTCCCTTTGGATATGCCACTTGTGAAGTTAATTGGATCCTGCTTTGATATTGTCTAAAGCTGGCCACTAGGAGTGTTGGCTCTGGAACATCCTTGAAGGGACTCTGGTTCAGGCTAATGTCAAATGCTGCTTATGACCAGACCTACGCTTTTTTCTTTGGAGCAGTTTTAATGTGACTTTTTCTGCATATCCTTGGCTATAAGATGTCTATTCAGCTAGTCTTCAGTTGGTTATTCAGTTTGATATTTCTATATTTTAGCTGTAATTCCATTTTTGTCCTGGGAGAAGTTGAGTGTAATATTCACCTAATCTGCTGCCATCTTGGATCTCCTGCCCATAACTTTTCTTGATGACTCAAACTTGTCCTAACAAACATGCATCATCATACTAAGTCAATGTCATTTTCTGTTTCTTTTCTTAAAGTCCAGCTGTCATTCTTCAATCACTATTTTACCCAACTCTAAAAACCATCTTCTCACCCTATGCTGTTCTGCTTCCAATGATTTGCTGTGGGTGGGGAAACTGGTGACTGTTAAGAATTTCCTTTAAAACTTGGAAAATCAAGTATCTGACAGTAGTATAGGAACATTCAGCTCCATTTAAGGACCACTAGAGACATTTTGTTTTTCTATTATGCCTCTCGAGTTAAGGAAATATTTCCTCATTATAAAAAAAATACAAAATTAAAAAAAAAAAAAAAAAAGGCAGCTCTTTCCAGGTACTTAATATCTGCTTAGAACAACCAGAATCTTTTTAGTAACTTCCAGGAAAAGAAAAGAAGTCATGAGGTATTAACGCTGAACTCATGTGAAGAGGACTTTTTGCATATAGGTCATGTACCTAAAATTGATATGTCTTACTGATAAGTTAGTTAACAAGCATCACAATCTTTCTGTTTTCCTACAAGGTAACAGAAAGGGAGTTAAAATCTGGAGGAGCCAACATCCAGGTGACAGAAAAGAACAAGAAGGAGTACATTGAGAGGATGGTGAAGTGGAGAGTAGAGCGTGGTGTGGTGCAGCAGACAGATGCCCTGGTGCGGGGCTTTTATGAGGTAAGTCCCAGCCTTGATGGGAGAAAGCATGCTTCTGGCCAAGGCCTTTATCACCAGACATATCTTTTGAGGGAGGAAAAGGGAGACAAAGAACCAAGGCAGGCAAAGGGCTCAGCTCTACTCACCAGAATGCAGAGTACCTACTTGAGGTGGATAAATGAGAGGTCAGAGTTCTCTGGGAAACTCATCTCTTGTTACCACAGGAGTAAAAATGTTCTCACAAAATTGTGTGCTGGTGGTGTGCCAGATATGAAAATATACAACATTTCCTGTCAAGATATGTGCATGTTGCCCTTTCTTTTCATTCAAGGAAGTAAAGTCATTGGAAAGCATTGTCCACTCTTACTAAATTTTTATTTTGTTACAGTGTCACTTTGTGCCACATAATTAATGCCAAGGGTGTAAATCAAGGGGACAATGACAGCTGCTAGCCTTCCTGTGCACCAAAAATTGCCATCATTCAACTTTTCCAGTTCATAAACAAGAGGCTGTAAATGTTTTTTCAGGGCTTGGATCTTCTTTCCCTGCCATAGTGGAGAATAATATGAGTCACTAGCTCATCCACCACTGGTTTGATTAAAGAGGGTATCCCCCACCTGAGAGCAAAAGACTCACACAGGCTAAAAGTGAAGGGATGGAGTAAAATATTCCATGCAAATGGAAAGGAAAAGAAAGCTGGAGTAGCAATTCTTATTTCTGACAAAACAGACTTCAAAATAAAGACCATAATGAGAGACAAAGATGTTCACTACATATTACTAAAAGGATCAATCCAACAGGAGGAAATAACCCTTATGAACATTTATGCACCCAATACAGGAGCACCCAAATATATAAAAAATCTCTTGTGGGACTTCAAAGGGGAGATTGACAGCAACACAATCATAGTGGGGGACTTTAACACCCCACTGTCAGCATTGAACACATCATCAAGACAAAAAATCAACAGGGAAACACAGACCTTAAATGAATCACTAGACCTAATGGATTTAATTGACATTTATAGAACATTTCACCCCAAAGCAGTAGAATACACATTCTTCTCAAGTGCACATGGAACATTCTCAAAAATAAACCACAGGTTAGGGCACAAGGCAAGTGTCTACAAATATAAGAAGATTGAAATCATATCAGGCATCTTCTCGGATCACAATGCTATGAAACTAGAAATAAACCACTATAAAAAAACTCAAAAATATTCAAACACATGGAGGCTAAATAGCATGCTATTAAACAATGAATGGGTTACCAAGGAGATCAAGGAAGAAATCAAACACTTCATGGAAAGTAACGAAAATGAACAGACAACAACCGAAAACCTATGGGACACGGCGAAAGCAGTCTTGAGAGGAAAATTCATATCGTTACAGGCCTATCTCAAGAAACAAGAAAAAGATCTAATGAACCATCTAACACAAC